GAATCCTGTGGATTGTTTTAGGTGTCAGGGTTCCACAAATAGGAATTAGGGCTGGGATTGCTCTTCCTGGTGAGACTCCATCTTTTGTCTATCGGTTGGTAAGTTGGGCTTTAACTCGTTTTCCTTAATTGTGAGGAGTTTTCTTTATGACGAATGCCAGATACAGTTATATTCAGAATGTAAAGTCCTGTATATTTCCGAACGCCGATTGATGATTTTTATAACCCTGTTACAAACGTGAATTTAGCTAGACTCTAGTGGCTAACGCGACGGGCTGGAGTTTTGAGACTATGACCGCGGGTTCAATCCCGGCCGGGGGTATGGTTTGTGAATTTAGCTAGTTAACTACTCCATTATCTTTCCTCTTGGGCTGACTATTCTAGGTTCCTATAATACTTAATCTTTCTTGGCACTAGACACTCGTGTGTCTGGGTAACGAATGTTGTCCACCTCTCCCACCCTCAGTCTTAGCATAGCGTCCCTTGGAACGAGTCTGCTGAAATTTCCTTACTCATTTCTGTAACTTTGCAAGCTCATGTATTGATTGCAACATGAAAAGCCTAGAGCTCTAGTTCAACTCCCTCTGTGGCTGTTTTGCATTCTGTATCACTTGCTCGTGATTCATGCATCAGATGCAACATTTTTTGTAGATGAATGGTTCAGAGAACCGACATGTTGATAAATTAGACACATGTGCAACTCTTGGGTATCTTTATTGAGGAAACGTTTCGCCACACAGTGGCTTCATCAGTCCATACGAAGGAGAAACTTGAAGAACAGGAGGAGAATGAGGTAATCAGTCCCTCAACCTTGAGTCGATGTATTCAGTCCATCAATCTTGAATAGAATACGGCATATCAGCGGAGAAGCAGCTTATAAAGCTTGTATATGTGTCTAATTTATCAACATGTCGGTTCTCTGAACCATTCATCTACAAACCTGTCAGACACTGCAACTTCTTGGGATCTTAATACTTAGGAATTCTTCGCTTGCCTAATTCTTGGGCACGACCTACTTCCACATTGAACAAATGTAACACCACCTATGACTGCTGCACCTCTCCTGCCATACAGTTTATAAGCTGCTTCTCCGCACGTATGCCGTATTCTATTCAAGATTGATGGACTGACCACATCGACTCAAGGTTGAGGGACTGATTACCTCATTCTCCTCCTGTTCTTCAAGTTTCTCCTTCGTATGGACTGATGAAGCCAATGTGTGGCGAAACGTTTCCTCAATAAAGATACCCAAGAGTTGCATATGTGTCTAATTTATCAACATTTTTATCGTTACAACAATAAAATGTCACATCAGTTGCACTTGTGTTCTTCTCCCTAACAAGTTTACAGGCAGTAGTTAAATATCATTGTCGTACTAGAAAGAAAATTTGATAATTATAATAAAGTTGGTAGAATTACCGACAATATGTAAAGTAAAAGGACACAAGTGCAACTAATGTGACATTTATTGTGGCAACGTTTCGCTCTCCAGGAGCTTTGATAAAGCTCCTGGAGAGCGAAACGTTGCCACAGTAAATGTCACATTAGTTGCACTTGTGTCCTTTTACTTTACAGATAATTATAGCTTAGATTCTCACACATATATCTCGGTGGCCACAGGTGATGCTCCAGATGGGGAAGTTGGAAGCCAGCAGCTCACACGTCTCCCAGCACTGTCAACAGAAAAAATCACCATTAAACCTATGTCCAGTATTTACATTAGGCTGAGACTCATAAAAATAGCATAAATATACTTAAATTTGTTTTACTGTTTGTCCAATAATTGAAACAATAGTTGGAACTAATTAAAACTTACAATAATATAACTAGAACAATTCACAACTGGCCAGCAATATTACGACTGGAACAATTCACAACTTGCCAGCAATATTACAACTGGAACAATTCACAAATGGCCAGCAATATTACAACTGGAACAATTCACAACTGGCCAGCAATATTACGACTGGAACAATTCACAACTTGCCAGCAATATTACAACTGGAACAATTCACAAATGGCCAGCAATATTACAACTGGAACCATTCACAACTGGCCAGCAATATTACAACTGGAACAATTCACAAATGGCCAGCAATATTACAACTGGAACAATTCACAAATGGCCAGCAATATTACAACTGGAACAATTCACAACTGGCCAGCAATATTACAACTGGAACCATTCACAACTGGCCAGCAATATTACAACTGGAACAATTCACAAATGGCCAGCAATATTACAACTGGAACAATTCACAAATGGCCAGCAATATTACGACTGAAACAATTCACAACTGGCCAGCAATATTACGACTGGAACAATTCACAACTGGCCAGCAATATTACAACTGGAACCATTCACAACTGGCCAGCAATATTACGACTGGAACAGTTCACAACTTGCCAGCAATATTACGACTGGAACAATTCACAACTGGCCAGCAATATTACGACTGGAACAATTCACAACTGGCCAGCAATATTACGACTGGAACAATTCACAACTGGCCAGCAATATTACGACTGGAACGATTCACAACTGGCCAGCAATATTACGACTGGAACAATTCACAACTGGCCAGCAATATTACGACTGGAACAGTTCACAACTTGCCAGCAATATTACGACTGGAACAATTCACAACTGGCCAGCAATATTACGACTGGAACAATTCACAACTGCCAGCAATATTACGACTGGAACAATTCACAACTGGCCAGCAATATTACGACTGGAACAATTCACAACTGGCCAGCAATATTACGACTGGAACAATTCACAACTGGCCAGCAATATTACGACAGGAACAATTAACAATCAGCAATATTACGACTGGAACAATTCACAACTGGCCAGCAATATTACGACTGGAACAATTCACAATCGGCAATATAACGACTGGAACAATTCACAACTGGCCAGCAATATTACGACTGGAACAATTCACAACTGGCCAGCAATATTACGACAGGAACAATTAACAATCAGCAATATTACGACTGGAACAATTCACAACTGGCCAGCAATATTACGACTGGAACAATTCACAACTTGCCAGCAATATTACGACTGGAGCAATTCACAACTGGCCAGCAATATTACGACTGGAACAATTCACAACTGGCCAGCAATATTACGACTGGAACAATTCACAACTGGCCAGCAATATTACGACTGGAACAATTCACAACTGGCCAGCAATATTACGACTGGAACAATTCACAACTGGCCAGCAATATTACGACAGGAACAATTAACAATCAGCAATATTACGACTGGAACAATTCACAACTGGCCAGCAATATTACGACTGGAACAATTCACAATCGGCAATATAACGACTGGAACAATTCACAACTGGCCAGCAATATTACGACTGGAACAATTCACAACTGGCCAGCAATATTACGACTGGAACAATTAACAATCAGCAATATTACGACTGGAACAATTCACAACTGGCCAGCAATATTACGACTGGAACAATTCACAACTTGCCAGCAATATTACGACTGGAACAATTCACAACTGGCCAGCAATATTACAACTGGAACAATTAACAATCAGCAATATAACGACTGGAAAAATTTTCCAACTGGCCAGCAATTTTAAACGCCCAGGAAAATTAACAATCACAATATAACGACTGGAAAAATTTCAAAAATGGCCAGCAATATTACGACGGAAAAATTAAACCAATCAGAAATATAACAAAGGGAAACAATTAAAATTGGCCAGAAAATATTAAAAAAGGGGAACTTTTAAACAACCCGCATTTATAAGACGGGGAACAATTCCCCAAAAAGGGCCGTAGTATTAGGGCCTAAAAAAAAGTCACAACTGACCCCACCAATACTCGGGGAAAATTTTACTACTACCAAAAAACCGTTGAAGAATTTCGAGGGGTATATCTGTTTCTCTGAGCCCGGCCAGGGGAAAGGGCTCGTCTGGTGCTTGCCTGGTCAGCCAGGTTTTTGCTGCGGAGGGCCCCGCTACCCCACATATTAAATCAGACCCTTTTGGTTGATCTGGGCACCGGGTTTAAAGATATTTGGGCTAGTTTCCTCTTAAAGGCTTAAAATTTTTTGCCCCACCCGTTTTTCTGATATCTTCTGGTAAGATGTTGAAAAGGGCTGGGGGCCCCGGGTGTTGATTTCAGTGTTCCCTTTTGTCCCCCCCGCCCCCCGCCCTCGGGTGGGTTTATTTTACACTTCCTCCCAAAATCTGTCCCCTCCAGTATGTTGTTTTTGGCAAGTTTCAGATTAGGAAAAGGCCCTCCAGTAACCCCTTTCCCGGTATATAAATCATTACCTCTCTCTCCTCCCCCTCCAAAAGTAATGTTCAAAAAAATTGGAAAGGCCGGTTTCCCCGTAGTATAGATGCTTTAAAGGCTCACTTGACCCTAAACGATCTCTGTAATTTTTTTCCCGCTCCGGGTTTCTCCTTCCCGAACGGGGGCCCTCAACATGAGCAAAATTCTAATTGAGGGAAACACCCGATTTGAAAAAGCGTTTTGAAAAATCTTTAATACCCACCCAGTGATCTTCCTGGCTTTTCGTGATCTTTGTCTTGTTATGGTTTTTTAAAAAAAAAGGTCCGCTGACATAAATTTTTCCCCGGTCTTTTGCGTGTTCCTTACGTTCTATTTGGTGAAACCCCCTTGAGTTTTGTTATAGTGTCCTTTTGAGTTCTTCATAATTCCATACCTAAGTAGCTGGAACTTATCACCATGAAAGTCATGGTTTTTTCTCCATGCCCCTGGAAAACCCCCTTTTATTTTCTTTGTATTTTTCAGTGTCCTCCACCGTATGACTTTCATGCTTATTTTAGTGTCACTGCAGATGATGTACAAAAGGTGCCGGGAGTTTTTTTCTAAGTCTGCTAGGGGGAAAGAGGAACAGCAGAGGTGCCAGGGGCAGGGGCCTTGGGGCCCCTGAGCTTTTTTACCCCACTTTTGGGGGGCTGGATCTTGCCCCCGTTTAAATACTACTTTTTTTTTTTTTTTTTTTTTCTGTGTGTCAGGAAACCGAAAATTCATCTGCCTACCTTCCCCGTAATGCCCATGGCCTTCATTTTGTGCGCTATCACTCCATGATCGCATTTGTCAAACGCCTTTGCAAATCCTGTATAAATCACTTCTGCGTTTTGGTCGTCTTCCAGCGCCTCCGTAATTCTGTCATAATGGTTCAGCAGCTGTGACAAACATGGTCGTCCTGCTCTAAAACCATGCTGGTCAGGTTATGTTGGTTGTGCTGGTCCATGAAATTTGTAACCTGCCGCCTCATCACTCTTTCGAAGATTTTTATGATGTGAGAAGTTAGGGCTACTGGTCTGTAATTTTTAGCTAGTGCTCTACTGCCTCCCTTATGGAAAGGAGTTACGTCTGAACTCTTTAAGGCCTCCGGTATCTCACCTAGATCTAAGCTCTTTCTCCCAAGAAAACTGAAGGCTCATGCTAGTGGTACTTTTCACTTCTTATAAATAGAGCATTCCATGAATCTGGTCCAGGTGCTGAGTGAGTGGGCAGGTTTTCCATTTCTTTTCCGAAATCTATGGGATTTGTACTAATGTCAGTTAGTTGGTCTGTGTGTCCTTCTTCTGGAGTGAAAAATATTTCTGCATTTTCTACCTTGCTGTCATTTAGTGGGTTGCTGAACACTTTCAGGATTTCAGTCATTTCCTGTTCATCGTCAGTATACGAGTCTCCTCTCAGTAGTGGTCCAGTTATACAGGTAGTTCTTAGCTTGGATTTTGCGTAGGAATAGAAATATTTTGGGTGGGTGTGAGTTGGACCTGACTAGCTTGTGCTGCTGGGTCTGGTGCAGTGCTCCATCCTTGAGTGGGGATGACCAGACTGGGGGGGTCATTGGGCTAATCCGGGGGGGGGGGACATGGACCTGCTCCGCATGGGTCAGTAGGCCTCCTGCAGTGTTCCTTCTTTCTTATGTTCTTATGTTCTTGCAGTATCCTGTACGGCCTTTTGTTCCCTTTGGAATTAGTTGGATTAGTTGCAATATTTTCTGAATTTGTTACTAATGAAGGTAGGTTTCTAATCGTGTCATTACGATTTCGTGAGTCATGATGACGCCTTTGAAGAGACATGAGCTAGAGTTCGTCACGGCCATGCTGGCGGGAGATTCATCTGTAAAAATTTGCATTTGTTGTCACAGTGGTGGCCTATGCTAACCTTCCTATAGTGTATAAATATACCTAGTTGGATGAATCTTACTGTAGCTAGCTGGTCCAGTGGTTAACGCGTCGGTCTGGAGTTTTATTCCATGAGAGTTTGGTCTATAAGGTTTGAACTGTATCGACTACACGATGGTCGTTAAGTCAGCATCACCATTTATGTACCACTAGTCAGCACAACTTTAATTCCTCAAGTAGGTAGAGTAGCAAACTATTGGCGAATATACAGAGACATCCCCACATTGGGTATGTATACCCTATGTTGCCCGGCGTGCCCAAGACCTCGAGCTGACCCCCTCCCCCCTTTCCTTCCCCACAGAATCAAACAGGTTGTTAGAAATAGGTAATTACACCCATCAACTCACCACCTGACAACGACACCATCAATTAACCTCACAAACTGCCAACGATCCAGCCTTCCTACGCTACCAAGCTGACCATCCTATAATAAGGGGTGGAGTTATACCTTTGATATACCTTTGATGAGTTT